AGTCCTTTCAATCCTACTTATATAACTATATCTATATAGATACACATTTAACATAACATAAGTTTAAAAGAGTTTAATAAAAGTATTTGACATGTAAAAGAGTTTAATAAAAGTATTTGACATGTAAAAGAGTTTGTAAAACAGTTGAAGTAGTTTGTTTGATAACACAGTTTGAAAAGTAAGAAATCCACTTGTTTGGTAGTTATTAATCACATGTGATTGATATAATAACTATAATAGTTCAACTTGTATTCCCCCCCATAAAAGCATTTAAAATCATTAAAAGGTTGATTAAGGGGTATGAACTCACCTGTAGTGAGTGGTTTGGATGAACGGATGGTATAGGATGCTAAGTGTCAAGTGAAGACTTGAACACACACACACGGATCCTAACTAACACATAATAACACATATATATATCCAATTAGTCATTTAAAAACTAATTAATCAAGTAAAGACACCCTAAAACATGGATAACACTTTGATTCAAGTGCTAGTAGTACCAAGGATTGCATCTAAGGGTTGTAGGGCTTTGCTTTTGGGTTTATGGGTCCAAGGGTAAACTCTTCATGAGTTTACGGTTTTGGGCTTACGTCCCAATGGGTTTTACGGCCGTAAACCCATGGTAACTTCTACCATTTTGTGTTTTGAGGTCTTATAAGCCATAAAGAAGTATCCTACTTCAAGTCTAAGGCTTAGGAAGTCATGGTGGCACAATTTCACCACTTTATAGAGTTTACGGCCCTGGACCATTTCTCCATGAGTTTACGGCCGTAAACTCTAATGTGTTCTTGGTCTTTGATGTTTAAGGTCCTAAACACTTCAAGGTAGTGATCTAGACTAGTATCCAAGGCTAAGGAAGGGACTAGTGCTCACTTTGCCCCACTTATTAGGGTTTACGGTTCAAGAACATGTCTTGACCGTAAACACCTTTGATCTTAAGTTTCTTTGTGTTTTCTAGTTGAATAAGAAGTGAAACAAGCATTATAACATACTAGGGTAAGAAACTTACAATAAAGGAGCTTGAAAAAGGTGTTCACGGACCAAGAACACTAGGTGTGTTCTTGGTGTTCTGTGGTGAAATGAAGAATGCTTGAAGATCTAAACAAATGGAATGATTTCATGGATGAAATCATGTAAGATCACTAGATTAAGGAAGAGATCAACTAATCAAGGAAGAAAACACTTACTTTCTTGAAGATTTTGAAGAAACTTTCGATGATACTTGAAAGAGAAAGGGATCTAGACTTGAAATTGTGAAAAAAAAGCTAAAAATGACTAAGTGTCACTTATATAGTCCTTAGGGTTTACGGCCCCAATACCATTTGGGCCATAAACTCCAAACTCTTGGAGTTTTGGAACTTAAATGTTGCACACCTTACCCTAAAGTATCCTCTCTCCAGTTATCTCTTGAAGTACTAAGCTTTAATACACTTAAACTGACTCCAAAAAGCTTAAATGTTAGCAGAAACAATTCTGACTTCTATTGAAGTGAATGGTTGTACAGAATAGAAATTTCAGGTTGTCATATCATCCCCCCGTTAGAAGGAATTTCGTCCCGAAATTAGAGTTTAAGCAAATAAGTAGTTACAAATAACTAAGTAAAAAGACGAGGATATTTCAGTTTCATCTGATCTTCTCGCTCCCAAGCGAATTCAGGTCCTCGCTTGGCGTTCCAGCGAACCTTCACTATCGGGATACAACTTTGTTTCGTTTGCTTAACCTCCCGGTCCATGATCTCTACAGGTTCTTCCACGAAGTTGAGGCTCTCGTTGATATCGATCTCGTCGAGTGGGATTACAAGAGTCTCGTCGGACAGACACTTTTTCAAGTTCGAGACGTGGAAAGTAGAATGTACGATACTGAGTTCGCGTGGTAATTTAAGTTTGTAAGCTACAGGGCCGATTCTAGCGAGAATCTCGAAAGGCCCTATGTATCTTGGATTTAGCTTTCCACGCTTTCCAAAGCGTATTAAGCCCTTAGGATGAGACCTTCAATAGAACACGGCCTCCTACCTGGAATTCCAACGGTTTCCTTCGTTTATTTGCATAGCTTTTCTGTCGGTCTCTAGAGGCTTTCAATCGTTCACGAATCTGAACGATCTTCTCTGTCGTTTCCCGAATGATCTCCGGACCCGTGAGAGTGCTGTCAGGAACTCATCCTTTAGCTAGCTGGGTATCACCCACCTCAGCCTAACACAGAGGGGATCTGCACTTTCAGCCATAGAGGGCCTCGAATGGAGCAACCTTTATGCTCGTGTGATAACTGTTGTTGTAGGAAAATTCGACAAGGGGTAAATGAGTATCCCATGCTTTCCCAAAGTCGATCATACAGGCTCGCAACATATCTTCCAAGGTTTGGATAGTCCTCTCACTTTGTGTGTCGGTCTGTGGATGGTAGGCTGTACTCATGTCCAGCCTAGTTCCCAAGGAACTTTGTAGCGACTGCCAGAACCTCGAAGTGAATCTACTATCTCTGTCCGAGATAATGGATATGGGAACACCGTGCAGTCGAATAAATGATTCTTCTTTAAGCTCACATCCAAACAAGGAAAAGAAGTTAAAGCGGAATCATCAATTCAAAGCCTGTAGAACCTTGATTATATACCACCCTTGTGTATACCTTCTCCAGCGATAGATCAACCGTAGGGGTCTTCGGGTTGAACTTGACGTACTGTACGAGTGGTACTCCAGGGAGGTTTGCTGAGGTGTCTTCGGGGAGGATATGAAACATAAGGTACTCTGTGCATGAGTACCTCAGAGTTTCTGGAATGACGGCTTCGCTAGAAAGGCGATTTCGAAGAAAAGAATTTACACATGAAATTGGTATTGTGAGGGTCGAATTTGCTCAAGTTATATGAAAATGTCGGACTACTCGGAATAAGAGGAATTAGACTTAGTTCATAAAGGTGTTACAAACTAAACATGACAGTGCAACTTTTAACAGAGTTTCCGTACTTTAATTTACTACTAGAATACGACTGCGAACAAGGTATACTACAAAAGCAAGTATACGCAGCACGAGAGCCCCTTGACTGACGGAATATTGCAAAAGGTAAGACTCTAGTTGCACTAGTGTTTAACAGTTTTATAAGTCTATTATAATGAAACGCCCTAGTATTTCAACGTGGGTCCGGAGTAGTCTCTCCTGCGGCAGTGGTCCTTAGAATCTTCCCGTCTGCGCCAGAGTTCTTTGTTATTGGACAATCCTTCCTGAGATGTCCTATCTCACCGCATAAATGACAAATCGGGCTTGCCCCAACATCGGTGGTGGAAGTGAAGTGTCGTGTCAGAGTTATGTGGACACGGTTGCTTTCGTTGATCTTCCCTTTTGGACAATTCCTATAATAGTGTCCTGCCTCACCACAACTATATCAAACTTGGCTGGCTCCGGTAGTGGAGGTGGTTCTACAGAAACGAGCAATGTGCCCCATTTTGTTGCAATTGATGCATTGCAATACTCGACAAGCTCCATTATGATGATAGTTACACTTGTTACACTTCGGGAGTGTTCCACATACCGCTTGACCGGTGCTGAGGTGGCAGGGGTCGCCACTGGTTGCTGTTGCATGGCAAGCCTTTGAAATCGCTTGCGTTCCTGTTGGGCTTGACGCTTTCGTTTCTTAAACTCTGAGTTGTGGCCTTGGGTGTTCGTAACAGTTATCATTCGTTGATTTCCCGGGTGGTTATAACAATTTGAACTGTCAACACCTTTTACAGCCTTGCTTTCGTTACAAGTGTTGAGGTGTGCAAGGACAGCTGTCACGGCAGCTGATACCGCTGCTTGGAAGGTGGCAGCGTCTATATGAAGGATTGGGGTTGTGTCGTTCGGCGGATTACCTCTAGGTGACGACATGATTCTGCTATTTGACAAGAAAAGGAGTTTGTGAGTGATTATGGTCGGCCCTAGATGTATTCTACTCAATCATGTAATTGTAAAGTTTCTGTTTTGTTAAACTGTTCTCGATGGTTTGACCTACATCCCTATGATGCAGTACTGGAAAAGAGTTGAAGTAACTTCGTAGAATGTTTACTAGACAATTGCTATTTTGAACTAGACTATCATTGGTTGGTGGATAACCGGATCCAACCTCTGACAAGAATTGGAAGAAATCCTTGAGCTAATTTACCATAGCTCAATAATTTGACGAAGTGAGTGTTTAGATTGGATTCTAATGATAGCAAAATGAAATTATTTGAACAAGGATTGGCACAGAAACACCACAAGAAAAAAGGGTATCAGAGACTGACGTAATCAGTCTCTGATGGTCAATAATCAGTCTTTGATGACAATCGGAGACTGATTTAGCTAGTCCCCAGCCAGTCCCCAAGACCTAGTCTTAGATAGTCAATTTTTTATGTATCTGAGACTGAAAATCAGTCCCTAATACATCAAACTATCAAGGACAGAAAATCAATATCTGATAATATCTCATTCAGTCTCTAATTTTTTTTCATCAAATGCTCAGTTTGACGTCATATCAGTCCTTGATATTATCTTTTAGGGACTGAATATCAACTCTTAATAATATATTATTATGTCTCTAATCTTTCATTGACATCTCTATTTTAAGTCATATTAGTCTGTGATACTATATTTCAAAGACTAAATATTAGTCTTTGATACTATCATGTTTAGTCTCGAACATCTTTCCTTAAAACTATCATTCTAGGACTAGATATCAGTCTTCCAAACTAGGGATGAGCATAATCGGATACCCCTCTATTTTAGTTGAACCAAAGCCGCACCCAGAACCGGCAGTTATGAAATTATTGGTATTGGAACCAGAACCACTTACACCGGTTCCTAGAAATTTGGAACCACACCCGGAAACGCCAAGACCGGAACAGTTCCAGGTACCCGGTTTTTTGAATATTATATTTTTTTATTTTATACATGCCATTGAAATTAACTTTTATAAGGAATAAGAATTCAAGATATAAACTAAAACAATTAAAAAAAACTTGATCTCAAAACAACAAAACTGCAACAAATTGAATTTAACATGTCAGCAACAAACTACAAAACAACTAAACATAAACAGTCTCAAAACAGCAAAAAAAGTAATAGCAAAACAACATGAAAGAACAATAGCGAAACAGCAAAATTGCAACAACAGCATTATCGAAATCTGCAATCACAAAACCAGTCAAATTAGCAAGCTAATCAATCATATAACTTCAGGAAGAAAACAAAAAATATTTGATTAAAACAATGAACTTACAGATCTTGTTGAAGACAACAATATCATAGCTCTGAACAAACTCATTAATGGGTTCCTCACAAAGTCTTTCTTCAATAAGACTATCAACAAATCAAGGGACACCAAATAACAGGCACATCTACCAAAGGCTCCAATAATTCCAGACCATGCTTCAAAGTTAGTAACATATACTCTGACCTTGACCCTGACGTTTCATTCATGGCCATTGAAAGGTCTTGGTCACCAACTCCATGGTCTACATGAAGATTGGTAGCTCCTTCACTAGCTTCGGTTAGAAGGGAACCAACTACATGTGTAGCAAATTCATTCACCTGAAAAAAAAAACAAAGAAACAAAAAACACCAACTCCAGATGGCTTAAGGAAGCATTGTGACTAAAATTTAAACAAAAAAAATAGAATAATACCTCGCAAATACTTGTTCAGATCAAGATCACATTTTGAATAGAATTAATTTAAGTACCTTCATGACCAAGCCTTTGGAGAAACCACTTGCTATGAATCCATTGATGTAAGAGAAAGTTAATTTCTTTTATCAGTTTATGTAATGAACAAGGAAGTGCAGCAAAGGAGACTTACATGTAAGGTCCTACAATCAAAAAACTGGTGAATTTTTAATTTAGACAATCTCAAGTGTTCTTGAAGAAGGTTTGAAGATAATGACTTCAAGTTAACTGCGGTTCTCATATTGATCCATAATCTTTCAGAGTATTGAAATAGAGACAAATGTCTTCAACTAGCACCGGTCCTTTCACCTACTCACATACACACATTCTGAATCAGCAAAATGTAACTCTAGAAGAACATCAATGGAGATTACAGATTACGATTGTGTACATGGTTAGCGGCCAAACAAGCTTCCTCTTTTGTGATATCCTCAGGATTGTCGTGCACATATTTACAACAATAAACTTCACATATTTACAAAAATTATGATTTTCAGAATCATGATTTTCATAATTAAACTTCACATATTACAAAAATCGAGATTATGAAGCTGACCTGATAAAGACATAAAGACTTGTAGAGTTCTCGGTTTTAGAATCGTAGTTGCAGAGTCGATTTAGCAGGGATGGTGAACGATTGAACAGAGATAACCGACTGTAAGAGACAACCTGCGATTGAGCGTAAGATACAACAGCTAGAGATGACCGTCGAATGGAACTCGACCTACTTCTAAGCTCTAATCGATATCTTTGGTTAACTGCTAATGTGAGGAACAACTGGTCTGTGACGAGAAGAAGAGACGGTTGTGAGCAGAGACGGTTGTGAATAGAGGTGCCGACCTAGATCAAAGAAGTGGTGGTGGCGACATAGAGCGAAGTTCATTGAGGGCAACTGCAACGTGGAGAGAGAGGATCTACGACGGTGGCATGGATCGTGGGTGCAACAGCGATGAACAGAGGGTTTGTAGTCGTTAGGGCTTATAGGTTTGTTTGGTTAGGCATGACTGTCATCTGCGGGTGTTGTGAAAATATAATTAATTAACCCTAGACAACAAAGATAAATCCGTGAGAGGGGAGTGGGAGAATAGGAGGGAATTGAAAAATAAAAGTCTCTTGAAATGAAAGTTTTGGAGGGAAACGTGGAGGGAAATAAAAAAATGAAAATATGTAATAAATGTAATAAACATAGCTTGCAAATTATTTAAACATAAAAAAAATAATCATATGTAATGAAATATTTTAAAATTTAGGATGATAAGTGTCTTTCCAAACATTATCCGGGAAATATTCATCACTCTAATTTTTGGTATCAAGAACTCATTTATCACTATCAAATACTCCAATCCGGTCATTGATAAGTGTCCCTATAAATCTAAATTGAGGCATATCGATCAGAGACTGAAATTCAGTCCCCAATAAATATCCTTCTAACTAGTATTTGTGATTATTTCCCCACTTGATACATGGTATTCATGACTTGTTGATTAGGCTCAAATAAAAAAACTTTAGTCCATGATAAGCGTCTATTTAAATGTAAAGTAATACATATCTATTAGATACTGAAATTTAGTCTCTAATAAGTATCCTTCTAAAATCATAATTGGTGCAAATCTATCAGAAACTAAAACTCAGTCTTTAATAAGTTTCTTTATAAATGAAAACCACTACAAATCTATCAAGGACTAAAATTCAGTCCCTAAGAGGTTTCTCTCCAAAATAAAAAACTGAATATGTATATCAAAGACTGATATTCGGTCCCTAATAAGATACCCTCCAAATGTAATTTGGTACAAATATATAAGGGACTGAATTTCAGTCTCTAATAGGTTTGTTCAGTCTCTAATGATTCACACATTGAAATTAGTCCCCAATAGTATCAAGGGCTAATTAATCAGTCCTAAATACATGGTATCTGAGACTGATTAATCAGTCTCTAAATTTTTAGTCACAGATGCCCATTTTTCTTGTAGTGAAATTAGCCGACTGTCAATATCATTTTAATATGTAATACGTTTGGAAAAATGACCTTGGAGTAGGTCTTACATCATATCCGAAGTAGAAGAGTTTTGACGGCATACTGGCCTAACTAGAAAGTACTTAAAGTACAAAGTTAGTTACTTAGAAAAGTGCTACTTGTAGCTTAGGTAGGAAGACTATTCTGTCAACCAATGAAAGCAAGGTAGAATATTTCCTACTGGTGACGGTCATCCCTTGGCTGAACCCTTAGTTCAGCCAGCTGACGCTCCATATCAAGTAGGTGCCTTTCGTACACCCTTTGGCGTACTCGGAGCTCTATGACTTCAGCTCGAGTTTCAGCTAGCTCTTGCTGCAGGGTCTCATGGTATCCTCTATACCTCTCACGAGCATCTTCCAGACGAATGGTGCAGATGGTATGCATTCTCGCATTGGCATCAACTTCCGTGATTCGATGGAGGGCTGTCCTACCCTGAATCTTGTTTCGGGCCACTCTGCAGACCAGGATTAGCAAGACTTTGTCTGCTGAGCCTCCTTCGCTCAGGTCATAAAAGCTTTGGTCCCCGTTGAATGGTATGGGCTGATTCTGCTCTTGGCTCCATGTTTCCAAGCTTTCCACCCATGGAGGCGTCGGGCCTTGAAAGGCCGGACGAGGGTTAGGATTTGGGACAGGAGCCATCGGGGGTAGGTTCTCAACTTCAGGCTCGGAGTCAGAACCATCTGCAAAACCTTCAGCCTGGTGATCATCCACAGGGATTGGATGATCATTTTCTGGCTCTGCTTCAAACCCTCCTCCATTACCTTGGTTAGGGAAGTACAAGTTGTCGTGGGGATGGAATTCAGCCATGTTATCTACGCGAGAAAAGGGATATAAGAATTAAGCACATAAGTAGTTTATAGTAATACAAAAATACTCCTATAGTATTTTAGGTTTATGTTTTGTTCTAAGGTTTTCGTTGTGGTATTGTTGGTAGGTTTTTAGACTTGTTGCAACCTCACAACCACACTTAGGCACATGCTAGTCACTCCTCGGATAATATAGTTGATCAGGCTATATCTTCCCAGATTTGACTATATGTCTCTACGTCTACTTGTGCTGCCCAACAATCGTAATACTTTTGTTCTGTCCTAGTGACACTGATTTTAGTATGAATGCAGGTATGTATACTTGGTTAAATATTTTATTATTTAAAAGTATAAACTCTTTATCAGGGTATTTTTAAATCCCGCTGTGTTTATAGTTCGTATATCTTTTATGGGTTGATATACTTGATTCACTATAAACAATGCTCTGATACCAATCTGTCACTCCCCAAAATCGGAACGGCGGAATCGTTCGGGGGTGGAGGACGTCATGTTCAGTATCACAACAATGCATAGTAGTAAACAAGCAACAACATCATCCATTGCATTAATAATATAATTTAATACAAGTGTGTTCTGTGAAGTGTAATAAACACCAAAAATATAAATCAAAATAAAAGATGAGTCTTGAACGAGCTCCATCTTCTCAAAACCTGGCATCGGTACCTGTCTACTGGTGACCTGAGAATACAAGTTATTTTGAAAGAGTTGATCAGCTTTAAAGTTGGTGATCATAAGTATTTTAGTGTCATTGTTTGTAAGAAAGTGTTTGCAAGTATGTGATGTGTAAGTTTGTAAAAGTTTGTGAATGTTTGTAAAATGTTTGAATCTCCTAGAAAACCCTATGTTTTTCTACTAAAAGTAGCCTACTACCAAGGCATCAAGTGTTTGTATGCGTGTCTCTTGTAAGAGTATGTATTTTCCCAAATCTGACTATCATTAACCAAAAATATAGTTTTTACATTACTGTTCATTGTGTGAATATCACAAAGTGAATGCAATGGGAAATAAAATAGTATTGTATTGTTGTATTAAGTAACTACTGCTGTGCTAACTACCTTAAACCAATTGTTATTTAAAGTACCATGTGATCGGCCTGTACCATACTACCGACTAGAAACACGACGATGTAAGACGTCGGAAGGAATGACGTTTGGCCCCCGTAGACTTGCAAGTCCCACTATAGCTAGCAGCAAGGTGTAGGATAGTCAATCCAGTATAGATCTATACACAAACTCAACGCTCTCCACTTAAGGATATTCTATATACAAAACGAGCCATGACAGGTGATGCCATGCCCCGTTACTTGGCTCACATAACTGTAGTAGTGTTCTTGTATATGTATTGTGTGTATTAGTTGTATTGTGTGTTCTCTCTCTGTCTAATATGTATGTATGTTCTCTCTGTTTCTCATAATAGTATGTTCTCTTGTATAATGTATAGTATGTACTAGCTGTATTGTATGTTCTCTCTCTGTCTAGTATGTATGTATGTTCTCTCTGTTTCTCATAATAGTATGTTCTCTTGTATAATGTATAGTATGTACTAGTTGTATTGCATGTTCTCTCTCTGTCTAGTATGTATGTATGTTCTCTCTGTTTCTCATAATAGTATGTTCTCTTGTATAATGTATAGTATGTGCTAGTTGTATTGTAATGTATAGCATGTACTAGCTGTATTGTAATGTATAGTATGTACTAGCTGTATTGTATGTTCTCTCTCTGTCTAGTATGTATTGACTCATGTATGAACTGACTCATTGTATGTTTCATTGTTCTAGTAATAGTATTAGTAAATTCCTAAACTACACATATTATAGTTTACTATTAACATTGTTTGTATGTATGAACATGTTTGTATACCTTTTCTACCCAAAGGTATTGAATAGAAAGAAGGAACTTTTATATCTATATACATATACATAATATATAACTAGGATTCAAACGACCTTCGGACAAACAACCGATACCCTAAGTCCACAACCAAACAAGGAACAGGAGGTCTGGTGAGCTATCAGTCCTAAGTCCTTTCAATCCTACTTATATAACTATATCTATATAGATACACATTTAATAGAATATAAGTTTAAAAGAGTTTAATAAAAGTATTTGACATGTAAAAGAGTTTAATAAAAGTATTTGACATGTAAAAGAGTTTAATAAAAGTATTTGACATGTAAAAGAGTTTGTAAAACAGTTTGAAGTAGTTTATTTGATAACACAGTTTGAAAAGTAAGAAATCCACTTGTTTGGTAGTTATTAATCACATGTGATTGATATAATAACTATAATAGTTCAACTTGTATTCCCCCCCATAAAAGCATTTAAAATCATTTAAAAGGTTGATTAAGGGGTATGAACTCACCTATAGTGAGTGGTTTGGATGAACAGATGGTATAGGATGCTAAGTGTCAAGTGAAGACTTGAACACACACACGAATCCTAATTAACATATAATAACACATATATGTATCCAATTAGTCATTTAACAACTAATTAATCAAGTAAAGACACCCTAAAACATGGATAACACTTTGATTCAAGTGCTAGTAGTACCAAGGATTGCATCTAAGGGTTGTAGGGCTTTGCTTTTGAGTTTATGGTCCAAGGGTAAACTCTTCATGAGTTTACGGTTTTGGGCTTACAGTCCCAATGGGTTTACGGCCGTAAACCCATGGTAACTTCTACCATTTTGTGTTTTGAGGTCTTATAAGCCATAAAGAAGTATCCTTACTTCAAGTCTAAGGCTTAGGAAGTCATGGTGGCACAATTTCACCACTTTATAGAGTTTACGGCCCATGGACCATTTCTCCATGAGTTTACAGCTGTAAACTCTATGTGTTCTTGGTATTTTTGATGTTTAAGGTCCTAAACACTTCAAGGTAGTGATCTAGACTAGTATCCAAGGCTAAGGAAGGGACTAGCGCTCACTTTGCCCCATTTATTAGGGTTTACGGTTCAAGAACATGTCTTGACCGTAAACACCTTTGATCTTAAGTTTCTTTTTGTTTTCTAGTTAAATAAGAAGTGAAACAAGCCTTATAACACACTAGGGTAAGAATACTTACAATAAAGGAACTTGAAAGGGTGTTCACGGACCAAGAACACTAGTGTGTGTTCTTGGTGTTCTTGGTGAAATGAAGAATGCTTGAAGATCTAAACAAATGGAATGATTTC